TCCTGTCTCCTGGCACTGGGTGTGCTCTGAAGCAGAGGTGGTGCCTGGTAGAGTGGAAGTCAGGGCTGTTTTGGAATTCCTGTGCACACAAGTGGCATGGGGAGACTCAAGGGGCTTTGCAGGCTTGTAAGAAGCCTGGGGATGGTGTGTGCGCGGTGGCTCGGGGGACACAGCTCTGAAGAGGCCTGGCCTAGGGCCGACTGCCAGGGGGGACATGAGCAGAGCACTCAGGGTAGGGCATAGGTCCGTGCTGCTGTTTTCCCCTCATCTCGATCCTGCACTGTCCCTCCCTCCCCTGCGTCTTCCCCAGTCCTTCCTCACATTGCACTTCCAAGTACATGGACTGGGAGTCCTGGCCGATGGTGTTGCTGGCAGTGCAGATGTACTCTCCAGCGTCTGTGTACTGGATGCTCTTTAGGGTCAGCGACGACACGCGGGCGTGGCTGCGCACCACCATGTGCCCATCCAGGGTCTGCCGGGAGGGAGGGGGCATGTCAGAGCCTGAGGCAGGGTGGCAGGCAGCAGTGCTATGGCAGGGCGGGCGAGGAGACTAGGCCATCACTTGTCTGTGACCAGTCTGACCCCCTCTCCTCTCTGAGACAATGGCTGAGTCTTACTTTAGGTGCCACCTAATAGGGGAGGCTGTGGGGAACACCGTGGGGACTTGGGTGGATCCAAACCAGAAAGCGGGACTCAGCTATGTCAGGTGGCTTTAACTAAGTGCCAAGACTGGTTTGGGGCTAGGTCCCTCAAGTCGACTTTATTTGGGATGTCTAAAATGGAACCGAAAGCCCTGGCCAGCAGATACTCCCACAGCAGCAGCCTTGCCTCATGAGATTCTGGGAGCCTGCCTTCCCCTCCCCTCCTTCCAATCTTCCCATCTGCCAGTTCCATGCTACATGTACATGGGATAGAAAATTTGAATATGCTCAACATAAGAAATTATACAAGAAAGCTATATTTCTGCAGATGCCTCTCTTTCCTGGGTGCTTAAAAGTGAAATAATTCCATTTAAAAACAAGTCAAATAACTCAAAGCTCAGGAGTTGAGCTATTGAGCTGGAAGTGAGAGTAACTAGGTTCTTTCTGTAGGGACAGTGGTACAGAGAGTCCCAGGCAGATCTGGGGTCCTTGAGACCATGGTCATCACCATTTCATAGGTCTTGATATTGCAATTGGCTTCCTGGGTCTCCAGAATTACAATGACTGGCCAAAGAGAGGATAAGCATAAGGTCCTTAGGCAATGAGCACCGGAATATCTCCCAGGGTTTTTCCCCTTGACATTCTAAGTGAAATGGCTGCTAGCCCAGAAAGAGTCTAGGCATGTGGGCCAAGTTCAGATCCTCAAGAAAGCTGGTAATCTGAAGAAGGGGTCCCCTGTTCCTTGTGGGCTGGGCCACCCTCTTATCTCCAGTATATGATGTTCTGCAGAGATGGAGAGGAGGCTGTGCTGCATCTGGCATCTGATATCCCCTCGGTTGGGTCTTTAAAAAATGAAAGAGCACTTGGCTTCAGGTTCTGTTTGTACGCTGGTTTGGAAGCTTGAAGCCCAGAAATGCAATGTCATATGACAGCCAGTCTAGGATGCTCAAAAACAAGGAGCATTGGCCTTGTGCAGCAGCCTCAGACCTACCACAAGAAGTCCCTTTGCCATCACTAACAGATTTAGTCCACTCCAGTTACTTAAGTCCCCTCACATTTCATGTCTGGAAGCTGGAAAGCAACTTCTAGCAAGAAGACAGCAGCACCAAGCAAAGTCATCACTGTCTATCGCTCTGACTGCCACTCCTCCCTGAGATGAGTGTTGTGATGTTGCCATTCAACTTACAAACCTGGGGGCCTGGTTGGTTGAGAAGCTGTACCCCACACTAATAAGAGATGACAACACACAGGTGTGCAGCATGTCACTAGAAAGCCTCGAGACCCCAGTTTGTTGGGTGGATCACAGGACCCCCTTTCTCATGGGCTAGCGGTGTTTTGCTGATACATCCCAGTGGCTCTTTTCATACACCAGAGAAAAATCTTTAGCTGTCAGTCTACACTAGTGGCATGGAGAGCATGAAGCCATCCCTGCATTTATCTCTAAAGGACTGGCCTGACCTGCTTGTCACTCCTGTTTTCCAAAATCACAGCAAGGCTGAAGGCAGAGGGAACTCGAGGTCCATCCCTGGCCTTTCTAGTTACCTCTGTGATGCCAACGAGGAACTGAACTATGACTCTTTGTGACACAGACAGGACTGGTGCATGGGCTGCCACCACAACCCTGGAAATTTGACCCTAATTTTCAGGAAGTCAAGAGAATATTTCCATAAGGAAGAGACAAAGAAAGCAATAAAAGAGGCAAAGAAAATTATGAGGTAAAAGTAGGACTTTAACAACAGGGAGGAGCAGTCTTTACTTGGAATAATCTAGAAAATGGTTGAAGAGAAGCTCAGAAAATGGTGGCATGGACCACCATACTTTTTTTTTTCTCCTATCTGGTTTCTTTTCTGAACTACTCTGTGTGGAAATTTCTCTCCTTTAATGATGTCAACAGACCAGTAGGTCTGTTGAGAATTCTGTAGAGAATTCTTATTTTGCAGTGGCTGACTACAGATCTGATGATGGGATTATTTGCCAGATACCCAGTTTTCCCTTTGAGGATACACAAGTAGACCCCATGTGATTAGATTCCCACCCCCAACATGTTTTACTCTGGCCCCAGGACAAAGTCAGACAGTGACACCTATAAGCCATCCAGACCAAAAGCCATGCTGACACCCAGGCTGTGGCGGCAGAGGGAGCAGATGAGCTCTGGGCAAGTGTGGAAAGATCATGGTGGCAAGAAGATCTTTTTTTTTTTTTTTTCCCAAAAGGCACGAAAGGCAATTATAATTCTTCTTCTCATCAAAATATTTTTGCCTCCCATCTAAAAATGCTAAGGCTTTTTAGAACTTACAAAATGAAATTGGCCCTAACCCGAGCCTTCTTTGACACTCATCTGGACTTAAGGTCTTCATCCCTGAATGAGACAAAAAGGAGAGAATAGAACTCCCGAGCCCCAGGGGCAGCCTTCGCTTGAAAGTCAATTATGACCAAAGTGAGACACTCCAGATAAGGACACTTCTGGAAAACGGAGTGAGGTGTCTGCTTTCCTGGGAGTAAACCTATTACTTCCACTTATAACAATAATTCTCTTAACATCGCTTTAATGCTCCCTGATAAATCTCAGCTCCTCCTCTAAATCAGATGACAAAGGAAAGATGTCCAAGGCCAAGCAGAATGAGATCTGTAGCTGCTTAAGAGTGGCTGATAATTAACCCTCTTCTGTCCCTTTCCCAGTCCCAAAGGGTCCATGATATTTTGGGCAATAAAACACCCAACCTGTGAAAGCTCTAAGTGATTCTTGTGCCACAGAAGGGAAGCATTTCATTGAGGATGTACAATTAACTGCATTTCTATGACCTGGAGGAAGGCGTGGTACAAAGGCAGCTTATAATGAACTAGATTTGATAATGGCAGTGTGTTCACATGCAGATACTTGTTCAGTGCCTGGGGACACGCAGGCAACTTTTAAATATTAAACAGCATTAAATATGCATAGCCATGACCTGAACACATGAATTATATGTTCTGAATAATTATCATTCCTGAAAGACTGAGAGGATAGTCTTTAAAATTAAAATACAGAGTCTATAGGATCACCATATTCTGCATTTGTTTTTATAGTACCAAAGCTCCATTGGAGAAGAGACAAAAGCTATTTTTAAAGAAAGTATGTATAGATTAGATCCTTGAATCTCATCTAAAATATACTAGTTTTTATTTCGTAATATGTCACTTAATCGACAAATCAGGTAAAAAATGATAGGCACGATCATAAGTATGGTCTTGGGATGTAGCAATTAAGATCTAAAGATTAATATTTAGCTTCAGTTTTCAAACTAGGTCCCACATTACCCAAACTGAAGCAAGTAGTCAGAGAAATTTCAAACGCTAAATGCCACTGACTTTAAAAAACATAAAACGATTTGTACCAAATCGTTCTAATCTAGTAAATTTAATGCTCTTTAAAAGTAACAGATATGTTTAGCAATTTGGGAAAACCAACAAGAGATGTCATTTGCATTGCTTTTGAGATGAAATGCGACGTGGTAATTTTCCAAGACCAATCATTATAAAATAAGTGAGCAACAAGATGAGTTGAGCTGGAAAGGAAAGGGATGAGTGGGTGTTTAGATCACTAACTCTATGACTTTATGGTCCAAAGCCACATGAACCACTGAGAGTTCAAAAACATTTCATCATTTCACAACTCCTGGCCTGGGAATTGGGGCAATTTACTTCTATCAGTATAATTACCTGGATGCGATTTTACCAGCACCAGCAAGAGAATAAGATCCAGTTTTAGGAAATAATAAGGATTTGTTCATCCACTCCCAACACAGCTTGCTTGCTCATCCTAAAAGGACACTATTGCTAAGTAATGTCTACCACTATCGACCTATTCTGTAATCTAACTAAATTACTAATTAGTTTAGCATGTCTGGTTATTAAACTGCAACGGTGAGTTAAACTGTAATGCTTTCAAAACTAAAGACTGGCTAGCGGTCAGGTAAGCTATACCTCTTGCTTCTCTGGTCGAGTCCACGAAGCCTGGAGAGAACAAGATATAAAACACAACAAGAAAGCAGTAAAATTTTACAACATGTTGCTTTAGAGAATTGATGTATCACACTGCATTCCGTGCACATGCAGCTTCTTTTTAATTCAGAACTTTTTCCAAGGCCCACTTTCAATGGTGTGTTTATTACCCAATTTAATTTTAAGATTTAGCTTATGTTCATCTTTTTTCCCCCTTATGCACATTAAAATGTATAACTCAAAAGGTAAAGCCTTTCCTAATCTTCGGAGACATATATATGGATACCAGCAGACACATCAGACTGCTCCTATTCCAAAACACTTTAAATATTCCTGGTAGTATTTGGTGACACTCTTAGTTCTAACCACATAATCTACAGATACTTAGCAGGTTTCCTCCTTTGGATTTTATTAGACAGCTTATCACAGATATACTAATGCCATTTTATGCTCATGCATTTTATAATTTTTTGCATGCAGTCTATTAAAAATCAGGAACAAAGCAAGGAGCAAAGAGGTACGCTAGAAATGAGAAGTATGCAGTCCTTAAGACTATGGGTCTGGAAGCTTTGAGGATACCAAATGCAAGTGGTTGTGGTAGAGTTCCAGTCCTTAAAGGCAGAGAACGGCCAATGGCATGCGTGTTCCAGCATGTACCATCTTCATCAAACATGGCATTCACGAGGGAGTGAGCCAACTCAGGGACACAGAGGTCTGGGGACTTTTCCACCCATGTAGATTTTTTATTTCTCTGGCACTTGGGAATCTACTCTGCTTACAGTTTTTCATACCAGGAGTTAAAGACATTGTAGCTGCATTGTTCTTTTTATTAGGTGGCACGACTGCCTAA